ACAGTCAGTGTGTGCTGGCGAACTGCCCTAGAGAATGTTATGTGGAATTGTAGCTAGTACTGGAAATTGAATAAGATTCTGATAGTGCAGGGACTGGAGGTTACTTTGAAGGAATGTTGGGAGACAAGGTTAATTTGAAAGAGTAGTATGTATTAGGAGGGAACTGAAAGACTCATTTACTCAACTAATACTGATTGAATCTAACCTCATGTCAAATACTTTTTTGGGCAATACTGTATAAACAGTATTAAGCAAAGACAAACAAGCTTTAATGTAGCTTAAAGTCTAATTGAGTGTAAGAGGGAGCTGACAACAAGTAAATGCAAGAAAACAATAAGAATTATGCAGAAAATTAAAGCAGAATAGTGTGTTAGAGAGTGACTAGCTGGTAAGAAAAGGTGTGGCAGGCCTGTTGATTGTCCCCCACACCGATTCTCTCCCTTTTTCCTTTTAGTAACAGAATCACCGAACTTTTGACCAGGCAATTAGCTACCCAAGTAGCAGCCATATTTTCCAGCCTCCCTGGTAGTTATGTGTGAAAAGGTGACTAAGTGAGCAGAACTGATGTTACTATTTCCAGGTCTTGTTTTCATAAGTAAATTATTTTTTTCTCCACTTTCTTTAATCCATTTTCCAGCCTGGAATAGAGTCAGACGTGGGCCAGCTTCAATCATGTGACTGAAGATTGCATTCAGGGCCAGCCACGTGGTGCTTTGGTTAAGAGCTGGCTTGGGACGCCAGCTCTGAGCAGCAGGACCCTGGTTCAGATCCCACATGAGGTCCAGTGACACTGCCCTCTACAGCTAAGATGGTGAACAACAGCTCAACCTGAAGCTGGGCTGCCGTGAGTCACCAGCGACGGCATAGGCTGCAGCCCCTGCTGCAGTGGGCTGCCATAAGCTACCATGAGTGGTTGGCAGCCAGCGTGAGCGGCCAGCAGCCGCCGTGAGCGGCCGTCCAGAGGCCGGCGACCCATCTGCCTCAGCAGGGAAGAACGCAATGATATCAACATAGGCTAGTGAAGCGACATCCTCCACAACTAGACTGAAGAACAAAAAGGACAGCAACTTGTCTGTTCCCCTTCCCTCCCTACCCCCCCATTCCCCAGCACTGTTCCCCTCCCCCAATTCCCCAATAAAATCTTTAAAACAGAAAAGATTGCATTCAATGAAAACAGACTAGACGGAAACTGAGTCCCTGAATGATCTCACAGAGCAGAACTGCCCACTCACTCTTAAACCACCTGCCTACCTCTGGACTGTTATGTGAGAAACACACTTTAATCTCTTTTTTAGTTACTATATTTGGGGATCTCTTTGTTATAGTAGCTTAGCCTGTGCCCTGCTATCACAGGTGACCTCTCAGAAGAGGCAACATTTAAGCTAAGACCTAAGTGACATGAATGAACAAGTCATACAAAGAGGAGGAGAAAGAGCATTTCAGACAAATGAAAAGGACCTAAAAGAAGAAAGGTCAGTATGGCTGGGGCACAGGAAGCAAATGGTGAAGATGACCTTGGAGAAGAATTAGTCCAGGACCATATCATGGAGGGGTTTGAAGGCTAAGGTAAGGAATTTTGATTTTAAGTGTGATGGAAAACCATTGGAAAATTTAAAAATATTAAAATAGAGGAAGTGTCATAATTAGATTTATGTTTTTAAAACAATCAATCTGGCTGCTCTGTGATAAATCATCTGAGGGGGCCAAAGTGAAGGCAGAGAAAGTGGTTAGAAAACTGCAGTAGTCCAAGAGAACTAATTTTAGTTCTCTGAACTAGGGTAGTGATAGCGGTGAAGTTAGAAGATAAATTCTTGAAATGTTTTAGAAGTATCATCATAAAGGCTAATGATAGATTGCATTGGTAGTTGAAGTGCAGGAAACAGTGGAATCAAAGATGACTTTGGGCTTGAGCACCTGCTATTTAATGCGATGGTTGTTGCATAAAGGGTAGAACATAAGGAGGCAAGGGTAGAGGCAGAAAGGTCAGCCAGGGAGCTTAGGTTGAGAATAGGTAGTGTTTTATTTTTGTTTTTGTGGGGAGGGGGCCGGTTTTGCTGTGAAAAGGAACATCTCTTTTAGTCATGTTAGCTTCGATGTACTTAGTAGACATTCAAGTGGAAATGTCAGGTAGGCAAGTGTCCCAAAGGTCTGGAATTCAAAGGTGCCTGGGCTGGAGGTAGAGATTTGAAAGTCATTAGTATATGGATGTGTCATAAAGCCATGGAGTGGGTGAAGTAGGTGACTTCAGGAGAAAGTACACAAAGAAAAGAAGTCAGAGAAGCCAAGGGCATTTTAGCAACCATATTTGGGAAGGATATCCAGATACAGAAAGAAAACCAAAAAATAAAAAAAAAGAGGCATCACAAAAGCCTAGAGAATTGTTTTAAGGAGGAAGATGTAGCTAATTGTATCACAAGCCATTGAAAGACTGAGTAAAAAGGATTGACACCATTCTTTTTTTTTTTTTTAAACCCATGGCAACCCACTGCCACAGGAGCTGCAGCCTACGCAGCCCAGCTCCAGGGTGAGCTGTTGTTCAGCATCTTAGCTGTGGAGGGCAGTGTCACTGGCCCTCATATGTGGGATCCGAACCGGGGTCCTCTGGCATCCCAAGCCAGTACTTAATCATTGCACCACTTGGCCAACCCAACACCATTCTTTGAACCACTGGCTTTGACAAGAAGTGGGCCTTGAGAAATGCCATTCCATCCAGTCAAGTGATAGGGATAAATACCCATTTGGAGGGTTTGAAGAAGAGATGAAGAGGCGAAGACCAAAAGCATAGACATGTCTTTATGTCTTTTAGGGATTTCTGCTATGAAGGAGAGCAGGAAAATTGAGGGATAGCTGAAAGAAGTAGTGTCAAGTAAGGATTTTTTTTAAATGTAGGTAAGATCTCAATAGGAAGGATTACTAAAGAGAATAAGAGGGGAAGAGGTAAAATTTAGAAATGCCTTATGAAAGCCTATGGGATGGGAGTCCTTTAAGTCTTTAAACAACCTTTTATGTGCAAAGTGCAGAAATGTTCAATAAGCATTTTTTTAAAAAACTGATAAAGCGGGAAAAATGGTCACTGATAGAAATGGGGCTGATGATAAAGGGATGATGATAGATATGTTTTGGACATATTAAGTACAGTGAAATATTTAAATAAGATTAACTGACTTACTAATTTGTACAAGGGACTTTGAGCTTCAAAATAGTAATGACGGTTAAGAAAAATAATATATTTTACAAAGGACCAGTCCAGTTGGTAGGCACTTTTAAAATTATCCTATATCAAATTAACAAGGACTTACCTTGCCAAGATTTTTGGCACTTTTATATTAAATTAAATTGCATTGGGAAAAACATAATAGTAATTGAAAAGCAACTAATTGGAAGCAATTATAAGCCAAATTATGTTTATACCACAATTAGTGTTTGAGGTGGGTTAGTAGGCTGATGCTTCATTTCAATAAGCAACATCAAATAACTGAATAGCTTGTAAAACACATACTTCTTTTATCTTTATTCCAAGTATAACACCACACTCTTTGAATTATCATAATAACACAAGCAACATTTATATTCTTTTGTTCCAATCCCGTTTGAGTTGCTTTTAAAAACATGGCAATAGTAGTATACATACCTACTGCACAACGTAACTTCTTTCAACAGATTTTATGGAGAAATGTGAACAAATATTTTTGTATGACAAGTTCTACCCTGCAGGGAATCTAGAGTGCAAATTCAAACTGTCTTTTTCATTAGGTTTTTCATGCTTACAACATTTTCTTGTTTCACTTTTAGTTGAGGAAAGTCTTTATCTAGGAATGATAGGGGGGAAAAATCTTTTGTCTTGTTACAATGGTGATTTTTACTCGCATGTCAGGTTGGCTTTTTTCTCCCAGATTTCCGAGTACATAACTTTGTTACCACAATTTTGTCAATTCAGGTTCAACTGTTTGACTACGACTTCACAAACTGTTTTCCACTTTACGTTGATTACTGAAATATTAGATTCATGGTTCTTTAAAACCACCACTAGTGATGTTTTGAATCCGTTATGTTAATTTCCATGTAAATTCTGATGCACTGAGATGACAGCATATAAATTTTGGAGGTGGTGGGAACCCCTTTCAATTAGTTCATCAACTTGAGACAATTCAAAGAAAAATGTTATCAAACAATTTCGATTATACTCAATAAATCAGTTTCTAGAAATAGTTTTGCAGAATAAATACCCACCAGTTGACCTAATGGAGCACGGAGTTGCCAGCGCTTCATGGCAGCTGCAGCGCTTGGCCAGCTCCGAGGTTTGGCAAGCCACACGGTGGGAGGTAGGTAGAGCTGGAGCCCTCCAGTGCTGGGCGTCACATTGCTTTTCCTTTTTTAAATAGGGAGACGACGCTTCTGGCTATTGTGTAAACGAATCGAGAACTGCGTTAATATGCACATCAACTAAGGAGTGGGGAGAATTAAAGCGCCTTCTAATCCAACCTTTATCAACATGTGCGTCATAGACAAATGCTGAGTTTTAATGCCTGGCTTCGTTCGCCTCAGGGAAACACACTTCGGAGAACAGCCAGGTACCTCAGCAATCGCGGCAAACTGCTCAGGATCAAAGCCACCACACCAGCCTAGCAGTAGCCACCGCCCCCGCCAAACCCCGCCAACCCTCCTAAGGACCCACCCATGTTCTCAGCTACCCAGTTGTTTTACGCAGCGCTGCACAGCCTTTCCTTACCCCGTTCCCGCTTTTCCCAAGCACTCTGCATTCGACCCCAGGTTCGTAGTCCCCAGCCGGACAACACAGCGCCATCTCCCGCCCAGGGGACGGCGCAAAACCCAACCGCAGCGCGGCGGGCAGCTCCCCGCGCTCTTCAGAGGCCGGCAACCAGCCAGCGGTAACTCGGCGGCTGGTGATTGACAGACGGCTGTAGCTATGAGCCGCAGGGGCGGGACTTTATGTCACTTCCGGGCCTGTGGAGAGAGAGGGGATCTATAAATTCGCTGTTCACGCAGCGCCCACGCTTCCACAGTATGGCCGGCGACATTAGCTAGCGCTCGCTCTGCTCTCTGTAACGGGGAAACAGCGAACTACAAGAGACTGAACTGTATCTGCCTCTATTTCCAACAGACTCACGTTCAACTTTCGCTCACAAAAAGAAAAGCCGGGAGAATTTTATTAATCCTTTTTTTAAAAAAAGTTAATATAAAATTATAGCAAAAAAAAAAAAGGAACCTGAACTTTAGTAACACAGCTGGAACAATCCGCAGCAGCGGCAGCGGCGGGAGAAGAGATTTAATTTAGTTGATTTTCTGTGGTTGTTGGTTGTTCGCTAGTCTCACGGTGATGGAAGCTGCACATTTTTTCGAAGGGACGGAGAAGCTGCTGGAGGTTTGGTTCTCCAGGCAGCAACCCGACGCAAACCAAGGATCTGGGGATCTTCGCACCATCCCAAGGTGGGTGCGCCGGTCTCTCGCCCACACTCGGGCTTGGGGCTGTTGCCGCCTGGAAGGCACCAGACACGGGCGGAATTCGGGGGCCGAGGAGGGGGCCCCGGAGCTGGGGGGAGCAGCCGCATCCACGCGGGGCCTGAGCCGGTTTCTCGCGTCGCCGTTGCCGCGTCGGGTGCTGCCCGGGGGGAGGGGATGAGGCCCGCGCCGCAGCGTGCTCAGGTAACGTTCCCCGCGCAGCGTGCGAGGCGGCGGCGGCGGTGCTGCTCCGGGTGGCGTGGCGGCCCCGCGCCTCCCGACTTCCCCTTCGGAATTGACGGTCTAAGGCCCTGGGCGAGGGCGTGTGGGGGTGCGGTGCGGGCTCCCTCCCGGCAGGTGTGGCTCGGCGGGCTTAGTCAGGCGCTAATTCGGGCATGCCCGCCTCGGGGAGTGGCGGAGGGAGGGAACGGGTCTGAGCCGGACTCGTTCTTGGGGCGTGAGACGGCTAGGAGGGGGGCGCTTCTGGCCCGGGGCTGAGACGCTAGCGAGCAGGCCTCCCGCCCGTGGTCCGCTCTGGCAGCATGTGGCGCCCGGGCGGCGGGGATTGGGCGGGAGCGGTGGTGTCGCAGTGGCTGGGCCTCGCCGCCGCCCTAACGTGCTCTGCACCAAAACCTTTGCGGGGCGGCCTGGGAGAGACGGCCTCGGAGCCTACAGAGGTTTCCTCCCGAGTCTCTTGACCTTGGGCTGTGTAACCTGTTACCGAGTCGGTGGGATCCTGGCGAGGTAGAGGGTGGAGTAAGGTTTGCCTACATTTACGGGCTAGAGGCCCGTCCGGCCCAGGACATAATACCTTTAATGCCTAAGCCAGCAAAGGAATCTTGGGGCCCCAGCCTCCCACCCCGGCAGTCAACGCGAGAGAGCTGGGCTGGTCGCGCAGAAAAGGAGAGGTCTTCTAGTGTTGTTGGGAAATACAAGCGCAAGTAAAACCGCAGGCGATTCCGAAGGTGCTTGGGCCTGTACCCGGCGGCTCTCAGACCGCTAGCCACCACTTGCCTTTCTAGGCTCCGAGCACGAGTGCGGCGACTGTGGTGGTGCTGCGCAGGAACCGGCGTGGCCGCTTCATTGAGAGGCGACGACCAATGAGCTCCTGGGCCCGACCGAGAGCCTGGCCCCAGGGTGTGGGCCAATGGGCGTTTCAGGAATGTTGGCTGCGCTCGCTGCGGTCCCTGACAAAAAGCAACTGGAGAAAGGGAATCCAGGAGGACACGTGCTGCCGGGACTTTAAGGCATTATGTCTTGAAGGATTCTCTTGTAGAAAAGCATCGTGATAGCTAAACTGTCATAGGTCTCAATTTTTAAAGCTTTGTGCGATACTTAAAATGTTCAATATGTGCCATGCTCAGTTCTGAGCACTTTATATGTATGTTATAGGGAGCAGCTATTTTTCTTACAAATATGGGAAAGCTTAGTATTTCCTCCAGATCGCAGATGGGAAAACTCCCTGGAGTTGGTGATAAGCGGTAGATAAAACGATTGTAATCGGATTATCTAGAAAATCTTATAAAAGGAATAACAAATTGTTTTGCCCTGGCTCATTAAATGTTTTGAAGCTTTGTTTGTAAGGACTCTTTTATAAAGGGAAGAGGGCTTTTCCTCCCCAAGTTCTGGGTCAGAAATCCCAGAATTTCAGCTTGAGGTTTTTTTGGTGGTTAAGAGTTCCAAGTGGAGGAGGGGAGAAAGACTTCTAAAAGGGCAGCTTGCTTTTTGAGAGTCTTCTAGCAGCACAGTTCAGCTGTTGTAGATGGAGCAACTAAGAACTGAAAAATATTGAATTTAACTGATACGTACATTAGTAACCTTTCTGGGAACATTTTTCAGTGACCTGTCAAGCAGGGTGCACAGGTTAGGTTATTTACTGGAGTTCAAAAAGTACCTGAAAAAATATTAGATGCTAGATAAATCACCTAAAGTCAGTGACCTTGGAAGAGGGAATCATTGGAGCCTGGTCTCTGGGAAGGTGGAGTTGGGACCTAGGAAGGATCATGGGTCATCTCAAAGAGTTTGGTTAATGAAATGGTTGGTTCATGGCCTCTGGAATGTCTCGATTTGAATTCAAACATACTAGCTGTATGATGTTTCCTTATCTTTAAAATGGAGACAATAATGGTACCTACTTCATGGGATAGCTGTGAGGATTAAGTGGGTTAAAACTTTAAAACTGACACATAGTACAGTGTAGAAGTGTTACTATATTTATCTTTGATTCTTTGCTCTTTAGGACAAAATTTCCTTTTTTCTTTTTTAGCAACCAAGGCTGGAGAAGGAATTCTATCAGATTGTAGTCTAAAAGGCTACACATTAAAAAGTGCTCTAACAATTTGATGTATAATAGTTATTTTTACTCAAGTAGAAGAGGTAGTGTCGCCAGGAAGTTTTATTATGGATTGCCTCATTATATTAATCTTTCTGTAGAATAATCAATCTTTAGTAACTTTGTTTCACTTAATGATTTAAAAAACTGTAGACGCCAGAAAGTCTTTGCTTGTCCTTGCCTCATTCCCACACTCAGTAATTCCATTAAAATGTAAATAAATGAAAGGTCAGTTAAAAGACCTTCACAGACTGTATTAAAATAAATGTAGCTACATTGTACATCAAACAAAACCTAAAGACACTGAGAGTGAGAAGGCACAAATGTCCTAATGGCACCACTACACATGCTGTAGACATTAAAAAGATAACAAGGATGTTATGGAAAATTCCGTAGAAAAATGCCTTTCCAACATATATGCAAGAAGAAATGGAAAACCTAAATAGTCCTATAGTCGTTATATAAATTGAATGAGTCACTAATCATCCCATAAAGAAAACTCTAGGCCCAAATTGCTTCTCTGGAGTGTTTTCCCTAAAGTTCAAGGAAGAAATAGTTACAAGCTTTTTCACACATTGTTTTAAATTGAGAGGAAACCCTGGGGTAGCATAATTTTTATATCAAACTGACAAGCTGTAAACCAGAACTTGCATACACTGCTGGTGGGAATGGAAACCGAACAAACTACTTTGGAAAATGGTTTGACAGTTTCTTTAAAAGTACTATACTGTAAAAAAAATTTTTTTAATACTATAGTGTAAGATTTAATTTCTATAACTCTAAAAAATGCATGCTAATCTGACAGATCAGTGGTTGCCTGAGGATAGGAGTAAAGGGATGAGTGGATTAATAAAGAGGCATGAAGGACTTTTTGGAAGTAATGGAGGTGTTCGCTATCTTTTTGACAGTTTCACAGGTAGAGTGTATCAACAATCTTGTAAATTAAATGTAAATGAAAAGATGAGTAAAATTTGAAGTTCTACAACACAGGTTAAAATAAGTGGGTGCGTGCTTCCAATAAACAATCTAATCATTTTTGTGTAACTTTATTTTTTCAGTGATTCTCATAAACTATTGAATTAACTTGCTAATAGAAATATTCTAGTTTTTATTGGTACCGTATTTGCCGGCGTATAAGACGATTTTTTGGCCCTGAAAAATATGCCTCCAAGTGGGGGGTCGTCTTATACGCCAGGTACACTTCAGATAGACTGCCCATAGTGCTTGCCCCGTGCCATAGTGGCCTCCCGATGCCCGCCCACTTCATTCCACATACCGTTCAGGCATCAGCAGCGCTGCTGGGTGTATGCTCGGCTGTTATGCGATTTTGCTGTTATGCGATTTTACCACACTCGCAAAATCGCACACAGCTGACCATACACCCAGTATGATAGCGCAAAATCGCGAATCGCGATACCATACTGGGTGTATGGTCGGCTGTGTGCGATTTTGCGAGTGTGGTAAATTCGGGTTACCGTATATTTCTTTACATATGCATTGAAGATTCGCGATTTTGCGCTATCATGGTGCCTGTTAGAATGTTGAAGAGCTCGCACTTGCGCACTAGTGAGGTCCCAGGGAGATGCTGATGCAAGGGTGGACCAGACTGCTATAGTGACAGGGCGGGCAAACAGGGAGCAGGGACCAATCAAATCAGGCTTTGTAAACAGCCAACCACAATACTGCACCATTGTACAGTACAGCATAGAAAATGTCGACCAGTCAAACCCCTATCATCCCTATCATGGCACCAGCCAAAAGAAAGAAGTATGATGCAAATTTTAAACTGAAAGTTATAAACTTTGCTAAGGAAAATAATAATTGTGCTGCTGCAAGACAATATGGAGTAACAGAAAAGATGGTTCGGGACTGGAAATCAAATGAGAAAGCATTAAAGAGTATGCCAAGGGGTAAGTGTGCATTAAGAAGAGGCACCCCACACTGGCCAGAACTCAAAAAACATGTAGCAGACATGGTGGCTCAACATCGCCAAAACGGTTATGTGGTGACACGAAATACAATACGCTTGTTTGCACTTCAGTGGGCCAAATCAAATCTGATATTGTTTTACCTTTTATTTGGTGTGTGGAAGGTGTGCGGAAGAGGGGGTAGTCTTATACGGCGAGTATATAACAAACTCTGTATTTTGAGTGGAAATGTTAGGGGGTCGTCTTATACGCCCAGTCGTCTTATACGCCGGTAAATACGGTATATATGTTGTGTTTACTGCTACAAACCAAGGGATAATTTTGGTTGCCATTTATGTAAGCCTTGTCCCCACCCCCACCCCACCCAAGTATGTAAACCTAGCAATTAGCATCTATATGAAATCAAGTTAGAGCATTATATGCCCCCAAAATCTTTGTACAGTAACAAGGATGAATATGAATTTGGAAAGCTGCTGAAATGATTTTAGAGACAAATTTCTGCTTTCATCAGATATAAGGACAAAAAATAATTGGAAGTAGTATGGGATTTGAAGAATTTGTTATACGAAAATTTTTCCAGAGACTTGAACCAAGAGAAAATCACAGGGCCATTTTGAAGGAAATATTCCAGTGGAGTTTCAGGGAGTGGTAGTAAGTATGATATGAAAAATCTGGCTATTAGTAAAACAGCTTATTTTCTGAATACAGATATGTTTTTTGAACTTTTT